GCCGCTCGGGACGCGTTTGCCGCAGGCTTGAGTGGCTGTTTTGCCTTTGGGTTGCTGTGGATGAAAGATACAGGTGGGTTTTTCTTCCAGCGTGCTGTGCCACCCTCCCCTCCGCTCCCAAAGAAGTGTAAAAAAAGTTTGTGAAGGAAGGGGAATTTGGCTGGGGAGACTTTTGCTTGGTGCAGTGTTTAGAAGCCTGAGATGAGCCCGGGCATTCAGGAGGTGCTTTCAGTCCTCGCTGCCGCCGCGGTCCCGGCCCGGGCTCTGCGACGCTTCTGATGGCTTTAGCCCACCCAGGGTTGGGTCTGTCTCATCTACTCGTACCACAGACGTTTCTGTGCATAAACGTCCTCTTTGTACATAAGAGGCGTTGCCTTGACTTTCAATATACTAGGTGAAAGTAGCTTCTTTTTCAAAAGCGTGGGTTTGCCACACTTATATTTTCCCCTTGAGTAAATAGTGCAACATTCAAACGTGTGAGCTTCATCACGTGTTCTGTACTTAGGTTGTTCTCATTTCCATGTTTGTGTGTGTCATGAGCGTGAACTGCTGAAAGTAAGTCTGCTGATCTGCATACAAGAGATTCTTCCACAGACAGGAGGCTTTGGGAGCTGGGAGATACCCAGACTTCTGAACCATAGAACCTCCTCTTAGTCTTCTAACTTAGCTCTAAAGAGCTCTCTGGATGTCTTGAAATCTTGCAGTGTGGCTTGGAGCATGGAAAAATAGTCCAGAACAGATGGGAATTCTGACTTTACTGTTGAGAAGTCCCACGAAGACCACTATCTTTCAGCTGTGTTTCAAAATAATTGTTTCAGATGATAACTCTGGTTTTGGATGTTCTCTGTTAAAAATAATTCAGTTTCTCATCTGGAAGATGAGGTTGAATGTATGTCAACTTAAAAATACACGATTGCTGTCATAATTCTTTTAGCACATCAAAAAAGTGATTCTTCCTTCATAAAATTTCATCTGGGATTGTCTTTGAAATGTTATGTAAGGGGGTTGGTTTGGATGTTTTTTGTTTGTTAATTTAAATTTTCATTAGAAATACAAGTCCTTAAATAAAGGAAAACAACTATTTCAAATTTGATTTTTATATGAAGTGAAGAATGAGTTGATTTAGGTTGTGTGGATATGTAAATATAAGAGGGTTTTTTATAGCTCCTTTATATCCCAAGAAAACAATGTTGGTATGATGGAAAAGGATAAGTTTTTTTTTAGGAATATGAAGTTTGATTTTATTTATCAGCACCAGCCCAAGCTTGGGCTGGGCAGTCTTTTATGCATTTTCTTCAGATTTTAAATATTTAAAGTGAATTAAGCATCATCTTTGGCACGTTGCACCATGTTGCAAGAGAAGATGGTAAAGAATCTTCCAGCTGGAAACCCGTGAAGCTAATGTGTTCAATAAGTTATTTGGTAGAAAAGTGAGAAAGGAAATAAACCAGCTCCACTGCTCAGACTAATGCATGGTGTCAAGTGTGAAAAGAAGCCTCTCATTCTCAGTATTAAAGCCTGTGCTCCCAGAAGCAGATCTAACATCTTCTGAAACCTTATTTGTTTCCAACAGACTAGTTCAGAGAAAACACACGCAGTGATGGGTGTCTGTGTTGCTGTATCTTTAGACTTTTACTGTCAGAACCAGTTAACAGATGCAGGATTTAATAGGTGGTGACATTAAACAAACTTTTGGCCCATTTCACCTGGCCATATGTTTTGTATCACTTTGGAAATGTTTTCCATTCCCTGTCAACTCTGACAACTTCAAGGGGACAAACTGGATGCTCATTTATTTTCTTTGGATGGAATTTTAGTTTTTTTTGTTTTGGGATTTTTAAACATTGTTTGAGAAGCAGAATTTTGGCAATTCTCCAAGCTCCTAGCTTCCTGCTAGGAGCTGGGAGGGTTCCGGCTGTCTTTCTAGGTCATGGAGCCCAGGAGAGCGCAGAGTGTCACCTGTAAGACAGGGTTTATAGAGTTCCAGAGTAACCTCTATTAAACCAAGCTATCTCTCTGGAAGAAAAAAAAAAAAAAAAAAAAAAAATCCCGGGAAAAAAAAAGAATTGGTGAACATAAAAGTATTGAGCACAAAAAGCTCATTTACAAGTGTTTTTCAACAATAATGTGTATTCAGTTAAATGCTAACATTAAGTAAACTTGGACCCATTCTTCAAGGGATTAGTATGGGAGTTTAGAAGCTTTTTTGAAATCTGAATTTAGTTTTTACCTCATCCATAAGTGTAAAAAGCACTTAGGACTTTATACATGAGCTTCTAAAAAGAGACGTACTTCCACATAGCCCAGGTCTTCAGACATCTCCCTCTGTCTCCTAAATTCACCCAAACCTTTTTGAAGCTCATCTTTGTGCATCATGTTTGTCATCTTTTGATACAGAATAATATAATTTTAAAATGTGTCTTACACTGAACTTTCAGGACCTGCTCATCTTGCCTGTGCATTAAGGTATAATTTCCCAACACACACCAGGGCAGAACTTGCCCAGCTAAAGCTGTGTGAGTGATGGTCAGTGGAGAAATTATCTGGATACCAGGCTGGGCCTGCACACCTGATCTGACACCACCACACCTGGTGTGACCCTGCTAAATTTCAGTCATCTGAGTCCCATCCAGGGAGTAAATGTCCTTTGATAAGCACTATGAAACTCTTGATATGTTTTTAAAAATGCAGGATGACTGTATAATAGACCTACAACTTATTATTTATATTTTGAACTAAATTTTTAATCATGGGGTAATTTGTGTTGGAACAGACATTTAAAGGTCACCTAATATAACCCCCCTGCAATAAGCAAAGACATCTTCAACTCAATCAGGTTGTTCAGAACCCTCTCCAACCTCACCGTGAACACTTCCAGGAATGAGCAGCTAACACCTCTCTGGGCAGCCTGTTCCAGTGTTTCACCCCACCTTGTTGTAAAAAACTTCTTCACTATTGACCCTAAATTGGCCATCCTTTAGTTTTAAACCTTTACCCCTTTGCTACAGGCTCTGCTAAGAAGTTTCTCCCCATTTTTCTAAAGTCCCCTTTAAGTACTGAGAGGCTGCAACAAGGTCTCTCCAGAGCTTTCTCTTCTCCAGGCTGAACAGCCCCAACTCTCTCAGCCAGTTTGCATAGTAGAAATGCTCATAAGGTTATTTTTAAAATTTGGTTTTTGTTCCACTCAATTTTCACTCTGTTCTTTTAAACACTATATGCAATTTAGAGTATATTGATGGTTAGACCCAGTTAGTTTCCTTCTATAACCTGCAACCAGAATTAAGTAGGAGATTTTTTTTTTTTTCAAAATTGTAGGAAGAGGACTTAAAAAGTTATTTCTCTTAGATATGCTACCTGGGACCCTTTCCAGCATAAATACCATGTACTTCCTAAAGGGGGAAGAAAAAATCAGATTGCATCAGTGTTTCAGATTCCCAATGACAAAACAGTAGAAGGTCTGTGAAGTTTACATAATTTGCTTACCAGAAAAAAGCCTTAAGACACTCTGTATATGTTAGACTTCACAATCAGTGCAGCATTTAGCACAGTTAGGGAAAGTAGAGAAATAGAAAGACAAAATAGTTACTCTAAATGCTTACCATGACAAAAAGTTATAAAATAAAAAAGCAAGCAACCTCTGAACCATCAGTAAGCTGAACTCTTAATTTTCCAGTTGTTAAATACATATTTTTCTACAAGACATTTTCCAGACAGCAACAATTAGGAGTAATATAGGAGATGCTCCATTTTAACATGTGTGCAATCATTCTAGGAGTGCATGGCACATGAAAGAGAAGATTTCATATTTTTTAGTCCAGTAAGCCATGGGTATCATGCATTTTGCACTGAGGAGTGGAAATTTTTGTATATATATATATATATATATATATATATATATACACACACATATACACACATCTCCATTTTTATGGAAAATTCTGTGCAGAATTTGCCTGCCACCACAGAGAAGGTAGACTATGTAGTTGTGAATCCACAGTAAACACTATTGTTTCACAAAACACACAAGCAATGTATTCACTGTGTATGGATAAAATTTACACCTGTGATAGGAGAGATGTGAGGCTTTGGTTGTCTGGCTGCTTTGTAAATAATAAAGGAAGACATCTGTTCACTGGTAAATGTGGGAGGAGAGATATTATTATCACAGATCTGCAAACATTTGTGTGCACATGAGAGCTTGAGGGACTGCATTTGCTTTTTTTTTCTTTCTGGGTAAAGAAATACCTTCTCCTAAATTTGTCATCATTTTAATTAAGGTCAAGCCAAAAATGAAACTTCACTTGGTGTACATTGACTTAATGTGGAGGAAAACACAGTTCTTCCTCTGGGAAGTTGGTGCAAAATATGTGTTTTGCCATGAAGAACTTTGCTAGGAAGGTGCAAACAACCTCCATGCTTAATTGTGAGCTAGGGAAAAGTTTCTTAAAACATCCAAGGAAATGTAAACAAACTGATATTTATTTTAAAAATCAGAGTAATAACTGAAAAGAATGAGAGATATTTGTTACAGTTCAAAACAGGAGGAACTGATAGTAAATTATGTACCTATTTTTTTGTTTTTGTGTGGAAAGAGCTATTTGGTTTTAACCATATGTTTTTTTCTGTGTTTTCAGAAAGACACTCACTGTCAGAGGAGAGGAGGGTAGCTGTCATTGGTAGGGCTGTCCATCTGCTCTGAAGGAGGATACCATGCTGAAACATCATTTTAAGACACCTTCCATTCTGAACATCAAAAAAGATCATCTAATATTATCCTAGGTTTAAACAAGAAAGATGAATTTGAGGTGATTGTTCACTTGGTTCTGTTGCCCTGGAGTTACTGCAGAACAGACCCCTGGAAAGACACAGTGCAGGAAAATAGTCCTGTGCTGCAATACTGTGTTTCACCTGCATAACCATCTAAGAGATATCTCATCTGAGAAAAGATAACAAGGCTCCTGAGAGGATTTAATCTGTGATGGAATGACTTCTGGGAAACTACTTCAGCAAAGGATACCCAGCATCTCTGCCCTCACTGATTCATGACAAAGTCCAAAATGAACCACACTTGGATGTATAACCTGAGCTTTGGTGCACCTGCACATCCTGTTGAGCCAAGGGCTGGACTCTCACGAAGTGGGCACACAGTAGTGGCTGTTTTTCTTGGATTAATCTTGTTTTTTGGTTTCTTGAATAACTTGATTGTCCTCATCCTCTTCTGCAAGTTTAAAACCCTGCGTAACCCAGTCAACATGCTTCTCCTGAACATCAGCGTCAGTGACATGTTGGTGTGCATCTCGGGCACTACCCTCAGTTTTGCATCCAACATCCGTGGCAAATGGATTGGAGGGGACCATGCTTGTCGGTGGTATGGCTTTGTCAATTCCTGCTTTGGTAAGAGTTCTGTGATGATTCTTTACTATTCTTTTTAGCGCTGGTGCATGACGCAACATGATTAGGGAGTTAAATGCTTTTCTGTGGTGAACAGAAGGATACTTTTATTGCCTTGTTATGGTCAAGCACAAGTCCATAGTTTAAAATATCTTAAAAAAAGACTTTATGAAAGAGTAGCATAGATCTAACAAATATTTCCTAACATATCTCATTCTTCAAAATTACTTAAGAGCTAAAAATGGAAACTAAAAAAAGGCAAGCCACTGGAGAGAGTTTGATTAAGTGTATGAACATATATAATACTTCCCTCTTTTTCAGAAAAATCTGTGCCATTGCTCAGCACAGTGAGGTTTCTGTCATGAGCAAAGCCTCCTGAAAGTACTATATTTACCATTTTTAATTATCTCTCAATATATAATATTAATTACTCATGTCCCAGATAGTGAGTTCTCATCATTAGATGATTTCTGTTCTGCAAAGGAAAATATTTATTTTAGACTTGCAGGCTTGCAGCTTCAGTAGAAAATTAAATTGCGGGAATAGATTTGTCAGAAATGGTAGGAAAAGTATTCAGTGTTGCGGTCCTGTGCAGACAAAATTTTTTTGCAACCATCTTTTGTAGCACTAGATATAAGTGCTTTACCTGGATTTCTTTTAATTATTAGAAGAAGATAAGGGACAATGAACAGTCAGAGGGCAGCCTTCATCCCTCCAAGGATGAGGCCTGTTGCTTGAAGATGCCTGTTGCATCACCAAGCTGTGACCCTTTCTTCGTTTATTCCTACATTCATAAAAAGATCCACTAAAGCATGAACTGGCCTGTGGGTGCATGTTTAGATGTGATCCTTATCTAACCCAGACCAGGGGACTTGGCACAGCTCCTCTTGCTCTGCATCTTTGCTTTCGTGCCTTCAGGCCAAGAGCACAGGACAAACGCATTCCTGGCCCTTCTCCAGCCCTGGATTGCAGCACATCTCATGTAGGCCCTTTGACCCAAGAAGTGTTCCCACAGCTCTTGATGTAAAATCAGGTGGTGAATTCAACACATGTTCTCTACCTGAACTATAAACTCTTTGCTACTCCCAGTGGTGTGGTCTCTGGTACCTGTGCCTTGCTCAAATGTGTGCTCCGCTCACGACCATTAACTCATCCTGGCAGCTTCCTCTGGGAAACTGTTGCTTTGCCCAAAGTGAAGTCACAGGAGTTAGTAATGCTGTGTAATAAAAGAGCACTTTGGCCACCCAAAAGCAGACTTTATGGTCAACAGTACCTTGGCTTGTTTTGGTAGGTTGTTTTCAGTTTGGTCTGTGCTGAGCAGAATGGCATGTCTTCTTCCAGGTTTCATTTCCATTTTTGTGTGTTTTATATATTCCTGTATTTCTGTAAGTAGTTTTCTCAGGCAGAAAGGAGTAGGACTGTTTTTTTTTTGTCCATACTTTGAGCTTTCTTTTTATTATTTACCAGTGGGTGGGGGGGAATAGCATTTGAAGAGAGAGGGGAAAAAGAGGTGGGTATTCAAGGGCTTAGGAAAAAAGGTATGTTAAAGGTGCCCTTTTGAGCCTGCTGGCTTCTGTCTGGATCCATGTGAGTTACCATCCCATTGACTGTGGAATTAAACCTGCAAATGGGTAAGTTTCTGCCAGGGTGTTCTGTTTGTGGAATAATTTTTCAAAGTCAGATCTATATGAATTGGATGCATGGCAGGAGTGCAGATTTCTGTGCTATTTTGACACCTGTTTTCATGTGATAGTTTCTGCTATGATTCTTAAAATTGATTAGATCATCAAGGAGCACGCAAGCAAACAAAACAGCAAAACTCAAAATGCCAAAGGTGACCTCAGCTCCTCTAAGTGATGTTAGTGCTGTCAGTGGGGTATGCTGGGAAGCTGAGGCAACCTAAATGCAGGTAGTTATTAAACTGTGCATAGCTCATGTGAAAGTCTTGCAGCGCTCACATGTGTTCTTTCATTAGTGTCTATAAAGGGCATAATGAAGAAATTTGCTTGCAGAGTTATGATTAAAAAATGTTGGTTGGGCTATAGGATGAGTAAAACCAAATAACATTAGCAGGTTGCCTAACATTTGTGTGTCTTTACAAACAAATTTTGTCAGCTGATAAATATCACTATTCATCCTTTAGCTATTCCTAAAAAAATTCTCATACATTTATTAGCTAAAAAATTCACTTTCCCTCCTTGATACCTCATGTGTGATTTTGGCCCATCAGAGATAATAGAAAGGGCACTAATGCTCAAGATCCAGAATAGGGATGTGTAACAGGAAAGGTAATTATGATAAAGTTCAACATCAGTGTTGGTAAGAAGAAATGCTTCAATATTCATACCTGTTTGGGTTTTTTTTTGTCATGGAATAGATGATCCTACTAGGATAAACAACAGTATAGGAACATTCTGTTAATGATGTTAAGTATTAATGATGTTAAGTGTTTAGGGTTATGGTTTTGGGGTAATTATGGTGGTGCTGGGTTGCTGGTTGGACTAGACAATCTTGAAGATATCTTACAATCTTGATGATTCCAAGTTCACTGGCCCCCCTAGAATTGCACTTTCTTGTACTAAATGAAGGTATGTGCGTTTTGTTTTTTTTTTTTGTTTTGTTTTGTTTTGTTTTTTTTTTTTTTTTTTTTTTTGTTCTGTTTTTTTTTTTTTTTTTTTTTTTTTTTTTTTTTTTTTTTTGCTGACTGCAGTATTTTTCTAAATCTTGAAGAAACTTTAAGTAGGCAACTAATTTTGTGACTTGGTGATTATTTCATGATGTGTAAGACACACCTAAGCCAAATTCAAACTGTTAAAATATTTATAAATGCAGTTCATTCTTGCAAATCTTCTAGCAGGACTGTATTTTCAAGGTTGTTTTTCCCCCCTTCCACTTGTTTTATGATATGGTGAAAGCCTCCTTTGCGTTTTAAACCAAATGGAGAGTGAAGGTGTTATCTTTCAGGTCTGTGGCTTTGATGAAACCTGAGGGAGTGAAAGTAGAAAGCTGAGATTTGTTTCAAATGTAAACGCCAGGTAAGAGATCACTTTTTTAAAAAATCACATGCCTGGAGGGTGATCTGGAAAGCAGATCTGATTCCCTTCCCAGCAGTGTTGACAGTGCCATGTACATTAATGTCACTTGGTGGGAAACTGAGTAAGCTGTTTACCAGGCAATCCATTGCCTACCCCAGGCACTGAAAAACTATGACCCAAGAATAACCATCAGGGTGTTGCCATGGGCACAGTGGAGAAAAATTATGCACAAAGTGTAGTTTTTTGGTTTAATTACTTCCTGCTATCCCTATATCTGCTTTGTGATTTCAAGCCATATATGGAAAGCACAAGGATTGGAAGCTAATGGAAAGTGCAGATGCTGATCAATAAGCATGTAATTGGGACTTTAAGGAGAAAATTAAATACTGGGAGATCTGCTATGGAAGTATGAGCTGTTGGGTCTTGATTTGGGGAAGCACCAGGAATGGAGATAGAGGAGAAATAGCATGGTCTGTTCCCAGAGTAAATGATTTTACCCTGGTGCTCGTCCTTGATTTCAGCTCTGTTAAGTAGGTCACTGCAGTGGAAATTGCACATGTCACTGAGTTGGGGAAATGGATGGATTTTTAAAATTTGCTGCCATTACACACCACTTCATCATGGTTCGACAGGCTTATGGTTACACATTTAAGCAAGCATGGAAAGTGACACAGGGACAGGATCTATTTTCACAGCTGAACTCTCAGTAAACTTTGCAGGCAAGGTGAAAAAAGGATGGTTAAATATATCATGAAATGACTAAGAATTAGATTTTAATTTAGGAAAAATGTATTATTTTTAAGGCAGTTAAAGCATATTATTTTTATAGAGGCCACATACACAGGAAGTGATATGCCATCCTAAAATTAGATTTGTCTTGCAGTTTTGACCATCTCCCATGTAATCTCTGCACAATGCCTTATTAAACATTTCAAATCTCTGGACAGATGCAAACTTTCAGAAAAAAATATTTGTCATTTCTCAACATACTTGCACTAATGTAAATTTCCCAAACATGTAGGACAGGCAGAATTTGAGCTCAGATGACTTCTGGAGTTCATTCTTAGAACCACTACTCTATGCCACATCTTATCAGGATTAAATATTAAATAGATTGATACTTATGAGAAAGACAAAGCTGTCTCAGGCTACAGAAATCCAACACTAGATTCTAATGCTGGAAAAGTTCCAAGGCACATTACTAGCAGGGAAATTTTTGTGCCTGTTGAACTCTTAGCTCTTGTTTTCAGCTGATTGTTTTTCTCTTTCTTAACCTTCATGTTGGTTAAAATGCTGGCAGCTTGCCCGAGAAGTTGTTTCCAATATTTCATTGTAAAAAATGAATTCTGATTAGTGTTGTGTAAAAGATCACTATTCTAGAGGAGCCAGAGATGCCTGTGTCATATGAAAGCTGTGTGACTTGATGTCTGTGTCTTCCCACACAGCATCCTGTCAGTCCTGGGTGCAGCAGGGGGCTACAGTCCTATTTGAACTAAGTAAGGCATGTAGATATGTCCTAATGTCCACTGGTAACTCAAGGTCATACCTAAATGAGGACTTGAATCTTTTTAGAAATCCTGTACTCAACTCTGTGGGTGGACAATCTTTTCAGTCATATTAAAGCAGTTATCGATTTATTCCCTTGTAAACTGCCAGAGAACACAGTGAATGAGAGATGGAGCTGCTCATGATTTTGCTTTAAAGTTCAGCTGTCTCATGACCTTAAACAAATAATTTTCTTCTTAGTATTTTACCTTGATTTTATATGCTGTGTCTTAGACTCACTGCATTAAACTAAGGTACTTACATTTAGAGTATAAACTTCCAACATACTGGAAACTCTCTGTTTATGAGATGCAGTTGAGATATCACATGTAATAAATGACTCTTCCATGAAAATATACATTTTTTTCCACAAAAAAAGGACAATCTAACTTGGCTTGATCTTGCAAGAACTCATCTGATGTT